AATATATATATATATATGATATATATTTATCAAAATAATTACACGCACACGTGTATGTAAAATTTTGTAATCTTAGGAATGAAATATAAAATAAAATGTGTGTGTGTGATTGAGTTTATAGTTTCTGTTACACAAATTAAATTAATTTTAAGTAAGATGTACGAAATAACATAAAATTAAATCTTGCTATTTATAAAAAAAGTATTACAAAATATTAAAAAGTTAAGTTGCTAAATTTCATACTTTTTAAAAAAGGACAAGAGAAATATAATTTATATACTTATAAATTAATACTTATAATACTATAATACTTATAATATTACTGTAATTGCGCGTTATATTGAATTTTTTAATTACTATATTTTTCAAATCGAAGTATTGTGTATATGTATAAAATAAAAAGGATTATATTTACGTATATATAAAAATTATTTATGAAATTTTCTGGAGTTGTAACATAAATATAAATTGTATTTGTAAATAAAAAATTATAGTAAAATTATAGAATATCCGTACGCGCGCGCGCGCGCGCGCGCACACACACACACACACGCACACGCACACACACACAAAGTGATATATTATTTGCTGTAAAATTGCGCGAATATTTGTATAATAAAAGTGTATAACAATTTAATTTTTTTAAATAATTTTTTAGCTAAATGTACATTTTCTTGTTTATCTTAAATATTACTAATAGTTTTGGTATTAATATTGTTATTGTGAAAATAGAATATAATAATACAAAGTTAACTTATGCATCAATGCGCATAGTTGTCACTGCATCTTATAAGACGATATATGATATATGTACTGGAACATACGCATTTGAAATATATATTAATAAATACGTTAATAAATTCAATAATTAAAAAAGTATTATGTTATAAAAAGGTAAACTAATTAAAAAATGTTAAAAAAAATTTCCTAAATTGATGAAATTCTGTTGAAAAAATTAAACTCTTATCAATAAAATTAATTAATTTTTATTTAAGAAAAGTTTAATTGTTTTTTGACAAAAATTGTTCATTAATTGCATGATAAAATTATTTTTATAATTTTGTAATAATTTAAAAATATAACAAAATTATATTTTTTATGATGAAAGAATAATATGTATTATAAATTTTAATTTTATACATTCAGAATGTAAAGTAAAAATATAGATATGAATAAATTATTGTTATTACCAATACAGTCTACAATATCCAAAATAATAATAAACAAAATTTTATCCAAAATGGATTAGAATGTAATATTTTGGGTTCTCTGCCTTTTCTGAAATAATGAACAACGTATATAATATCTAATCATAATACTTAACACATACATTTCGCTCTCTCTCTCTCTCTAACCTACATTTTGCTATAACCTACATTTCGATGTGTTTCGATGTATTTCGATGGCCTGGTTTACATCGTGAAAGAATTGGTACGCGTATTAAATGTGTTTCATGCATTTACATCGCCATTTGTATCATTTGATACGCGTATCAGTTTAGTACTATACTCCTGTTGATACGCTCGTACCAAAATAATCCGACAGCGTTTACATCGTGCGTATGTTTATAATACGAATTGATACGAATATAGTACCTGATACGCGTATCAAGTGCACGATGTAAACCAGCAAATTCTCTAGACGTTTTTTCGATAATTGTTGTTATCGTTAACTATAGCGACAGCCAATGAGAGCCGCTCTTTCTTTCAAGATTGTCCTGGCATTGGCTGTCTCTAGTTAACGATAGCAACAATCATTGATAAAACGTTTAGAGAATCCCGGCCCAGGCCGATGTGTTTTCCGACAGGCGCGCTCGGATCAGTTCTCTATACACAGAGAGAAACCATATATGTAATACTACTATCAGCTGCTACTATATGGCTAGTGAGGCGTGGTTTATATGAGTTAGAGACCCTATACCAGAGTCTGGACACGAGCGTGATTGTGGTAAAATGCTACGAGAGAGAAAGATATATATATATATATATATACATCATCTTCGTCTATTAATTCTAACCTTAATGTAATGTATATATTTGTATATTCTCTTTCATTTAAGTTAACAGCGTAAAAAATATTAAATCATCGATGTCGATGTATTAAATATTAAAAATAATAACATTAAATAAATATTTATAGTAAAAATAGGTGGCTGCGCTGCTCCGTACGGTATTGTAATAATTCAGCTGTCAAAGGATATGCAATGAAAAGATTTTCTAAAAATCCTGAACGATGAGTTATATGGGTAAAAAATGTTAACCGAGAAGATTGCGGGTACCGACAAACAATTCACTTTTTTGTGAAGTTAGTTAATATTCGTTAAAAAAATAAAAATGTTCTAAAAGTTTATGTATACATTTCTATCCTATATGAATTTATAAGGTTATCGACGTTTGAATTAGAGCGGGAGTTGCCACAAACGACGGACCAATCAGAAATTGTCTCTCTCGTGTCCAGACTCTGGTATAGGGTCTCTACTGTTCCTCCATTGTGCGCAGCCTTACGAGTTACGACTCCTATTGCAGATGTCGTAAGTCTCGCGACTCGCACGTCTGTCGCTCTATTATATGCATACCACAGTTACTCCGTGGTGATGCCGAATGTAGTGAGAACATGTGGTAAATTTATTTAAATAGATTTCTGATATGTCTCTCTTGATTGAGTTAGCAACGCCAGTCTCTGATAACGTGATTAAAATAGATCATTGTGTCGATAAAAAAAATTAACATAAGACATTATAATATAGTGATTATTACAATAAATATACCAATGAACAATATTGCACGACATTTGAATTTTTCAAAATAACAATGTTGCGAAATATAGTACAATTATCACTTAAATCGATTCACGACGTGAAGTTTTTAAGAACAGTCAATTTAAGATCAACAATTAGATGCAAATATAGTACTAAATGGATTAGTCGAAGACCTGTTGCTATTGTTAATAAACATGAACTTTTGGATATTGATAATACAATCAAAACTGATGAGCAAAGAACTCGTAAAACACATAGAAGGAAATCAAGAATCAATACAAATGAAAAGGAAAAAGAAGAGAAACAAAAGGAAAATAAAATTGAAGGAAGTACTACAGAACCAAAATATATAGCCCTTGATGCAGATGATAAACTCATAAGGTATATTATTTTGTAAATAATGCTTAAATGATCTCTAAAATGTATAGTCTTATAAATAATACCTGTTACACATTTCAGTTCATTAATGATAGATGTTAAGACAAAAAAGAGGAGAGAAAAGAATCGTCAAATGCTATTAGAAGGCTTTCGATTAATTGAAGATGCAATTCAGGCAGGGATAATACCAAAAGTAATATTTTTTAACAGATTATCCGACATACTGTCACTGTCACTTCCAAAGGAAGTTAAACTATATAAAATCCCATATCGTACAATTCAGTTGTGGTCTAATTTAACAACTTCTCCAGGAATAATTGGTAAGTGTTACGATTTAATATAGATCTTGAAGTAGATGACTGACAATTAACAAAACTAAAAGTAATCTATCTATTGAACTACATACATGTATATCTATATAATTTTGATTTTTGGTACAGGAATTTTTGAAATCCCAGATGCAGAAACTAAGGAACCTGCTGAGAATGCTATACCTTTGACTATTATCTGTGACAATATAAGAGAACCAGGAAATTTGGGAACTATTGTAAGAGCAGCTGCTGCTGCTGGTTGTGAAAAATTATTATTAATGAAAGGTAATTTAGTTCATCATTAATTCCATAGTATATAGTTTTTTTTATTAATCCAGAGTTTTGTACTTTAGGATGTGTGGATTTATGGGAGCCTAAAGTTTTGCGCAGTGCTATAGGTGCACATTTTCGATTACCAATATTTACATCTATTTCATGGAATGAAATTCCAACGTTAATAAGTGATGAATCTGTAATTTTTCTAGCGGACAACAATGTAGCATATGAAAATTATTCAACAGATGTTACAATGAATTTAGACTCTAATGAAGATTCTTTTACTGAAGTTAATGATAATTGTGTGAAACAAGATAATTTAGATATGCATAATGATCAAAATAAAGATAATATGATAGATCAATTAATTGGTCAAACTAAACCATATAAATCAACTGCAAAAACTAAATTGTTAGTAAAACAGTTAATATCTCAACTTCCAGTTAAACCGTATTATGCATTAAATTTTACAGAAAAAGAAGTAGTACTTGTTATTGGTGGAGAAACTGAAGGTGTAAGTCTAGAATCATGTAAATTATTACATTCAAGAAATTGCATTCGTGTTAATATACCACTGACTAATGGTGTTGACAGCTTAAATGTTGGTGTAGCTGTTGGTATTGTTACATTTGAAATGAAAAGACAATTTGTAACTTGTAAAATTGACAATGAATAAAATTATTTTTAAACGTGTGTACAGATAATGTTTTCTTACTAATTATTATTGTACTAATTATTACTATTATTGTTATTAATAAAAATATCAAATCTATAAATAATTTAATATTTATGCGTGAATTTTTATATACTACATATGTAGTCCCCCCATAATTGTGCGCTGATAACATTCAGACATAACGCATAAATACTACAGTAGTATTATATAATATCACCGATTTTTACTTGATTAATTACAATTAAATATGAAGATGATAATTTAAAATTCCGCAAATAGTTAGATCTTTTTAATTTATTCTTTATATTACGAAAAATATCACATAGTTTTTGGCGTTTCGTCCCGGCTTCCATTACTGGACTCATCAGTAAGGCATTGTAATGGAAGCCTACCTTATACGCCTGTGTTAAGGTGCTTTTTCATGCGCAGCACGCTGCAGCAGCAATTCGTTACTATTGGTTAAGAATTTTATGTAAGCTAGATGACGCACTTCCGGCGCAAAATACATTTTGCCGCAGTTCGTTGAAGTTGAACCGAACGAACAGCAAGCAGCAAGCGGCAAAATCGAGGCAATATTATTTATTGCAATAAATATTAGGAAAATAAACGAAGAATGGCTTCGGATAAGGTACGAATGTTTGTAAATTAGATTATTTTATACTTTACACTTTACTTTTTCAAATTTGTGGTAAAGTATAAAATGATCTAATTTACAAACATGTATCCGTACCTTATCCGAAGCCATTTTTCGTTTATTTTCCTAATATTTATTGCAATAAATAATATTTTCATAATGAAACGACGGACATATTGTACGCTTTCTCGATTTTGCCGCTTGCTGCTTGAGGTTCGTTCGGTTCAACTTCAACGAACTGCGGCAAAATGTATTTTGCGCCGGAAGTGCGTCATCTAGCTTACATAAAATTCTTAACCAATAGTAACGAATTGCTGCTGCAGCGTGCTGCGCATGAAAAAGCACCTTATAAGTCGAGATACTATATGAAGAAATATACGCGTGTCAAAGCACTTGCGAGAATTTGAGAATATCTATAGACCTCTGATCGACGTAGTGATATTTTTCGCAATATTTATTTTAAGTAGGAATAGCGTCTTTTTCGGCTGACGCGTAATAATAAATATTAAATAATTTTGTAACGACCGTATATTGTTATCAGCGCGCAATTATGGGGGGACTATATATGTAGTACATAAAAATTCACGCATAATTGTAATAAGCACTTTGATCCAGCTTTGACCGTTATACAGGCGGTAATTCTTTCCTCGTTTGTTTGACAATATATACGGTCGTTACAAAATTATTTAATATTAATTTAATATTGTTTTTTTTTCATAATTATTCTATTTATTACGATATTATTTCTTTTTTTGTAATTAATAATCATAAATTTAGTTATTTTAACATTTCTGATATTTCAGATGCTGTATTATATTAATACATTACATAACTTTCAGGATTTAGTACAGTTTCTTGAATTAATTTTTATATAGAAATAAAAACTACTGTCAAAATATATTTTTCATTTATTTTGCTTTAAAGCTAAAATTTTGAGAACTTCCATTTAAGAGAAACGACTTCCCTTAACAATAACATTTTTTTTTTAATCATAAGCCCGGTTTTTATTATCTGATTAACTTGTGTGGTTAGGTTTAAACCTAATATTTTATGGATTTCATCTATGATGATATATCACGAATAAAGCCTAATGAAATATCAAGTTAGATTAGGTTATATGCTTAATCGCAAGTTAACCAGATAATGAGTGCGTTCCGTTTCATGCATGATGCATATAATATATCATTTATTCTTGTTATCCACACACCGAACGTTAAACAAGGACAATTGATACATTATGCGCGACTAATGAAAAACTGGGCCTTAATAAAAAATTTCATTTATGTTGCATCTTTTATTCTTATAACCTGTGCGATTTTATTATTTATGAGAAATAATATTCGATTACATCCATGTTGGGTACTTTCTGTAACTTTGATAAAATATATTGTATAATTTTGAATAGTGTGTGATGGGAACGTGTTTATCGGTAATTAAAACGAAGTTGTATAAGAACAAGGAAAACTTTATTTAGCAGTATAGTTACACGTTGCGTCGCATGGGAAGAGAAAACCGACGATACAAGCATGCCAACTGACACAGGGTAAAAGTCTGTAGTTAAACCGAAGCGACATCTGTCGTGTTATGATCGTATCAAATATGAAGGATAGTTTATACTTTAACA